AACTGAGGGATCATTTAGTTCAGCGTACTTATATATTACAGTAACTGAGAGATCATTTAGTTCATTGTACTTACATGTTACAGTAACTGAGGGATCATTTAAGTCAGCGTACTTACATGTTACAGTAACTGAGGGATCATTTAGTTCAGCGTTCTTACATGTTACAGTAACTGAGGGATCATTTAGTTCATTGTACTTATATATAACATTAACTGAGGGATCATTAAGTTCAGCGTACTTACATGTTACAGCAATTGAAAGATCATTTAAGTAAGAGTATTTACCTGTTACAGTAACTGAGTGATCATCTAGTTCAGCGTATTTACATATTACAGTTATCTAGGGATCCTATAAGTCGGCATATTGATATATTACAGTAACTGAGGGATCCTATAAGTCTGCATATTTATATATTAAAGTAACTGAGGGAGATTATTTAAGTCACGTCTTTATATATTACAGTAACTGAGGGATCCCATAAGTCAGCGTATTTATATATTACAGTAACTGAGGGGTCCTATCAATCAGCCTATTTATATATTACAGTAACTAAGGGGTCCTATAAATCAGCGTATTTATATATTACAGTAACTAAGGGGGATAATTTCAGTCAGCGTATTAAAGATCGCTGTCCCTCTGCAGGTAATACACTAGAAAATGTCACGGTGTTTCGTACATACAGTAATCTCCCCTTAATTTCGTGTGGGATGTAACTGTTATTGGACTCGGGCAGTGTACTACATGTATCAGTGACCAACACGCTCGGCTAGTTAAAACAACATAATAGTTTATAAAAGGCCAAGTATTATACTGTTATTTCTATTACTCTAGTTCTGATTTGCTTGTGTACTTGATCTTTTTCTTTTTTCATAAAGTTCCGTTATGTAATGCTCTCAAGTGACATGCAGGAAAAAGATATCCGATGCATAGCTATAGTTTCTGACAAAGATATTCCGTCTTTGCGTATTGCAGAGTTATCTTCTCTTGTGAGCCGGTATTGATTGTTACGTTATTGGTTTGTGAGAGGAACGTCATCAATTTTTGAGAAAACGATGTAATTTTTTCACACAAACCAATGACGTAACAATCAATACCTGCTCACAAGAGAAGATAACTCTGCAATATGCAAAGACGGAATAGGGAACCTTAACTTAAATAAAAAAGAAAAGTGTGTAAACATATTAGTGTATTGACTACTGTAATTCGTTTCTCGGTGAAAAGTATTTTTTAGTGACATTTATAAAAGATAAATTTGTATTTTTCCTTGACAACATTTCACCCATTAAAGAAATGTAGCATCACCACAATAACAGAAAAAAGGACGTGAGTACCATTGGCGATCAGGTACCATTAGGGTACGCCAGATACTTATCAAATGAGCCAAGAGCGTGTGACTGATTAAGTGAAAAGGTCATGAGAGTGAATGTTGTAGGTATAAAGCCAAGACATCACGAGCTGTTTGCCATACCGTTGCTGACAGAATCGCCGCGATGAAGATTGCTTGTTCTCTAATCATATTGGTTGTGGGTGTGGCCGCCGTCCATGGCGCAAAACCGAGAAAAAGTCCTGAAGACAGAAGGGAAAAGGGAGACGACAAATTAGTGAGTGGTTTTATGTCCTTTGTATGTACTTCCATGGGTCATTTGTGTTTTGGGGGTTTCTTTTCCTGACAAAAAATCTTTTCTATTTTTTAATCAAGAAACTGTGATTTCCAAAACTCGATTAAGTTTGTCCAAACAAAATTTCTTGCGAAGTGTCAGTTATTATATTTTATTCCCAATATGATCGAATGCATGCCATTATCAAGATGGTTTTTTTTTTATTTCAGACATTTTGCGTTGAAAATTAAATAACTTTACGTGTAGCTGTTAATAGGACAGAAAACCTTGTACAAACAATCCTTCTTTGTTTTTGTGTAATTAGCGAAGTTTTAAAATTATCTATATATTTTAAGGACTGCGTTGGAAAAAGTTGAAATTGATTTTAAACCTTATGACAGATTCACAAAATGTTTCAAGACTGAAGTCTTTATTTCGCATTTGATTTAGTGACAATCTTAATCAAGCATGTTCTTTTAATTTGATGACGCTTATTGTGTTCATTCCAAGTATTCAAACGGTACCTTCATAACTAATATATATGATAACAAACGGTAACTTCATAACTAAAACATAAGATAACAAACGGTAACTTCATACCTAATAAATATGATAACAAACGGTAACTTCATGACTAATAAATATGATAACAAACGTAAACTTCATAACTAATAAATATATGATAACAAACGGAAACTTCATAACTAATAAATATAATAACAAACGGTAACTTCATAACTAATAAATATAATAACAAACGGTAACTTCATAAATAATAAATATGATCACAAACGGTAACTTCATAACTAAAACATATGATAACAAACGGTAACTTCAAAACTAATAAATATGATAAAAAACGGTAACTTCATAACTAATAAATATATGATAACAAACGGAAACTTCATAACTAATAAATATATGATAACAAACGGAAACTTCATAACTAATACATATGGTAACAAACGGTAACTTCATAACTAATAGATATGATAACAAACGGTAACTTCATGACTAATAAATATGATAACAAATGGTAACCTCATAACTAATACATATGATAATAAACGGTACCTTCATAACTAATATATATGATAACAAACGGTAACTTCAAAACTAATAAATATGATAAAAAACGGTAACTTCATAACTAATATATATGATAAGAAACGGTAACTTCATAACTAAAACATATGATAACAAACGGTAACTTCAAAACTAATAAATATGATAAAAAACGGTAACTTCATAACTAATACATATGATAACAAACGGTAACTTCATAACTAATAAATATGATCACAAACGGTAACTTCATAACTAATGCATATGATAACTTTCACGTGTTAACGGTTATTTCAGCAACACTTCAAACACTGCAATGCTGAAATTGATTTGCTCATTACTAAGGTATTCAGTAAATCGATTTCATAATGAAAAAATAAATAGAAACTGAGTCACTGACTTAAAATTACTGTTGATGTTGTTTTTTTGTTATGTTCCCTTAAGGAACTTAGTTACAGACATTTATTCAAAATTTTAGTTTTGAACAACTTAGTTTGTGTACTTTCCTTTGCGCTATGCGGGGATTTCAAGCAACTTGTTAATGTAATATTGACCTCAATGTACTTAGTTTGACTAATTCTTTTTCAAATTTTAATATTTGCGAAATTGGATAATATTTTGTTCAGCTAATGTGAATAAACTATATCCTGATCAGTAAACATACAAATGTTTTTATTCTGTTAATGTTACGAAGATCTAACAGGTTACATATACCTGACATATAAATGCATAACAAATCTGTTCAATTATCTAAGAGATACAATGTATATATACCATTGAAAAGACATAATTATATGTTAAACAATTCATACGGATAATGATAATTATGGTAGATACATACTGATTCAAAGTACGCAGGACATACAGATATTACGACATGCACATACATTAGTCATTTATATTAGAGTACAATGTATCACCCTGTACATTGATTTTGCTATAAACATGTGCTTGATATCGCCTAGTCGAGCTCTGACTAACTGCAGGCTATCATCGCTCAATTTGCGACACACAAAAGAGAAAAGGTTGGAGTCAAAATATCGAAATTCTTACTTCTAATTAAGACCGAGAGGATGTGGTTTTCAAAAGTAACTAATCTTGGTCATGTAATTAACACAATCCTGCATTCGTTTCAATTCCATCTGAAATTTACGAAACTGGCCACGTTTCATAAATTGAATATGAAAAGAACATTCAAGTATCACTTTCTTTTCCTTTGATGCCTACTAGTATTTTTTAGGATGCTATATGTACATGTATATATTGAACGGTGATATAACCTCCATGTTCATGTTACCTTGAACTGCCATAAACACGTAGTTTCCATGAAGCGCAATAAAACACTTGCCCACTTCACGGCACATTAATATGTTTGATATGCCGTCATCGTTGGCCTATTTTGTGTAGACATTTTCAAGAACTGGCCAATTCACAACTGCAAAATGATACTTATAGTCATTTGATTGCCAAATGAATTTGTTTGGCTGATATAGTGACAATGCCATTCAATGATAGGTGAACCAGAATCCTTTTTTTGGTGCTAAAAAAACTCATTTGTAATAATAACTTTTTATTTATTGCAGCAACATTTACGTGCATCGTTGGAAAAGCTCATGACTGAAAAACGGAACGTTGCCCCCCTACTGAAATCAGGGAATGACAAACGTGACCTAGGATTTGGGAGTCATGGGGGATGTCACGTGGAGGACTTTATTCGCCTGTTCACCAGCCTGCCAAGTATCTGTCTAAAGTTTTTACTCCATCACTAATTGTTCAGTAAACTGCTGAAGACGATATACAGATATTTTTGTTTTCGTTATTCAAGTTAATCACTATTATATATATAGTTTAATGTATTGTTCCATCTATATATTTAATTCAAAGAAATAGTTGGTATTCATTTAACAAAAACGATTGTCACCTAAGCAGCATTTTACTATATAAACGTGTAATTATCTTACAAAAACATGAGGGGTCGCGGTGGCCAAGTGGTTAAGGCGTCTGTCATTCTGCTGTACCATTAGTCCGCCGTCATTGCGTCGTGGGTACCAGGTCGGTGGTTCTTCTCCGGGAACTCCGGCTTTCCTCCACCACCAAAACCTGGCACGGTCCTTATATGACCATCATTGTTAATAGGACGTAAAACACAAACAAACCAAACAAACCAAATCATCTTACTTACAGTAACTATATTCAACTGTAAGATACATATAAAACAACTAGCAAATCTTATGTATTTTTAGTGTAAAAGAAAGATATATAGTACAATTTTCTTGCTTCTATTTTTCCAGATATCAGAGACGCACTGTTTGACCTTGGCAGTAAGTTATTTTATTTGTTTGATAATATAACATAACATGCAATCGATCGATCGATAGGCTTTCAGGATCGACTATCGATAAAGCATTTGCAGATATGTTTCTGAAAGGTAAAACAGCTAAATGTAACTCAAAAGTCACTTGTACTAATCCAGGATAATAGTCTAAACCTAAAGTTACAATAGGCTACTTAAATAATGAAAGTGAAATAATTCAAAATTATAACAATTTAATTTCTATTTACGATTTGTCTGTTTTCAGACCCCGAAGATGTCATAGCTATAGTCGGTGAGTATTTTATAAATTTGAATTATTCTGATGACGTGACTGCAGATCAAAATATAAAGACAGAATATTGTGCTTAGTTAACATATTTGTTAATGATACAATATAGCATAATGCATATATTCAACATCTCACCCATGGTAAAATCATCCTTTCTCATAATTTGCCATCTATATTTTTGGGTCAATTACATAAAAAAGATTAATGAAACTTATGCGATACAGAAATTTCAACTATTTCAACCAAAGGATAATATGTTTTCAGAAATAGTACAAGAAATTTTCGCTGGTTTTACCTATACAATGTTATCCTGATAGTTGATGTCTCTCCGTCTATAACTCACGAGTGACTTATTATTTCTCCCCACACCACACTGATCCTGATGTACAGTGTCAGTTTAATTGGCCAATGATCGTGCGGGCGGGTGGATAGCGCAATAACCTTTCACCAAGATGGAAGGGGTCCGCCTCCCCGACCTGACTTGAAAATGTATAAGGTCATCTGTCCGACCACGTTGGTTTTCTCTATATAATCCGGTTTCCTCCCTTATAGAGACTCTCTGCGCACTTTTATCCAGGCTTACACGATTTTGATTGATATAAGATGGATTAACTTGTTTCTTGATTGTTGTAAAATAAATAATGATTACCTTTTAAGTTGATCGTGAAATGTTAAACGTAAAATATGTTTATAGTTATTATTTTGTTTGCTTTTGTTAGCTGGTGGATTTTAATTGTTACTTATCGCTTGTATTGCATTTACATGATTATTTCATTTGTATGTTAGATTGCATGAAGTATAATAGTACATTATGATTATATCAAGCTATTTTATACATGTTTCAGAGGAGATGGCGATTGTCTTCGGGAGGCTTCAAAGTACGTATTTTTTCTGGTAGGGATAAGCTCTGCATTTATTGATCAACACCACAATGGTCGTACTTTCTCGGTTAATCTTTCTGCTTTCCTATCTGCTGGGTTCTATTTATATCATAATATGATATAATACAAGATGTAATGATATAATATAATGATGTAATAATATGATATAATATAATTTTATTTGATATAATATATTGAATATAACATCATATAATAGAAAATAATAAATATTACGTCATATAATATAATAAATATTTATTACGTCATATGATATAATATCTCATACAATATATATTGCGTATCGTAAGCGAACAGTGGAGACAAGTCTAATAGCGAGGTTCGAATTCGTAAAGAAAAGCCAAATTGTCAGATTAATTCTTAAGATTGAAATAGGTGTTGTGTATTATCAACGTTAAGACAAAATACTTCACGAAAGCTAAATATCAAATACAGGTCATTGAGAAAGATCAATTTTCAATTACTTTAACTGTTTGAAATGACCATTTTTCAAATACTTTCAGATGTTATGAACACCGGTGGACCTAGGCCTTCTTCTTTCCCTCCTCTGCGATAGTCACACACACCCAGAGCAATACGAATCAACCGTTATTCCAAATGCAACCTGTAATCGGACTGACGTCTCTCGTTGGGAATCTACTGTAACCCCAAGACTTCCTTGCTGAAAATTACAGACCGCAAAAATATAACCACGAAAAATTTAAAATATAGCAATTCCAATAAAAAGAATATTGGTTTTAGATGTTATGTAATATGCATCTAATTTCTGTTTTCGTGCAATTTAAATAATCTGCTCAACTCTTTCGTTTCTTTTCAAACGTTATTTTCCTGTAATATCATAAACTCATAATAAACAATTCTTTAATGCTGCATTTGATATAATTGTTATTGATTTTATTTATATATCAGTTATTTTTAATCTCGATGAAAGGTATTCTCCGCATCTTTATTCTGTGTGAGAGAGTATTTGTTTTGCAGTAACCCTTATAAACCCTATTGCATACCTTTTACTATGTCATCGTTGTCACGCTTAAAGGAAAACATAACACATTAACAAGGAAAGGGAGGTAACCAATGCTATAAATGAATCAAGGGCCATTTTCGTATTAACGAATCAGTTAGCAAGAAAGTCATCCAGTTAACATGAACAAAATTATGACAATATATGCCAATCGCAACAATTTTGTTCACTTAAAATTTAAATGATTTCTTTTACTGCAAATTTATCTTTCAACGCATATTTGGCAGTGTATGACCGAAAAAAATGAACCAAAAATATCAAAATCTGATATAATAGTGAGTCAAAGTGAACGGCAAACTAATTTTGGACATTCCCATCAGTACAGTGACACAAAAAAAGACAACAATATAAATAGAGTAATGAGAAAAATACAATGCAAATATGCCAGGAAAAAGAGCCGTATAATGACATCTACATGAGCAGAGGAGACATCAGGAACAGACAGCAATATGTGTGTGCGTTAGTTAGTGTGTATGTTTATAGCGAGGTACAAAACTTGATTACAGAGTCACGAACAAATGATCTCCACCATACTTTAAAACCTCCATGTTGTCTTTTACGTAATTAACAAACAAGTCCAAAAGGCTCAAATTAAGGGATAAATAGTCATACGGTAAAAAAAAACAACTTTTTACCGAACATAATTTTATCAAAATGTTTGCAGTAACTCTAGATTAAGTTTGGCATATTTTGCATATACAAATTATTCGGAGGTTGTCGATACAAATTAATTGTTTCATTATTTGAATTTAAAACGTAAATGTTAATAGATAAGATATAGTTTATAAATATTACACATATTTACATCTTAACATACAGAAGCACTAGAAAACAAACCTATTTCGAAATAGTTTCGATTTTTGATTTTTCAAAATACTACATTGTATTTTAGAGTATTTGATAAATGATGATTCTTGTCACTTTGAAGTATTTTTATAATTATAGAAAAAGAAAAAAAATCCCTATACAATGACATTGCTCAGCTGTAAGAATTATACGTCAATATTGAGATAAACATATTGTCACAAGAACAATTTCGATTGTCAATGTCATAGTTCCCTCAGTTTTTATATCGTAAAATGTGTCGGTTTTAAAATATATCTTACAACTTCTTGGTTAGCTTCTTATGATTAAAAATAATATTAATAATATAATATTCATTCACCTAAAATCTGACACATGATTAAAGTCCTTAAGTTCATATATAAGAGGTTAGCCATTTAAAGTGAATGGTAACCTGAATATATGTTGTTTATATAATGGCAAATTTGGAAGTAGAAAATGCTAAAATGGAAATGGAAAAGAGTAGTCAGGCATGAGATGCATACATGTATACTGTAAACAGGTACATTTTCGCCGCAGTTGAACTTTCGCCTTTTCCGCCTTTTGCAATAAGCGAAAATTTATCATGACAGTGATATAAAGTAATTTCGTGTGAAGGGAGAAATTAAGGCTTGGCGAATATAGATTTTACCTGTGAATGGCAAATATCTGACATGGCATAGTACAAGACATTTCCGCTGGTTTGACCTATACAGTGTTATCCTGATAGTTGATGTCTCTCCGTCTATAACTCACGAGTGACTTATTATTTCTCCCCACACCACACTGATCCTGATGTACAGTATCCAAAAAACAAGTGTTACAGTATGCAGTGTTACAGTTGTCGATCATTAAAGAGAATTGTCCACTGTATCGTTTCCTCGTTTAGTCCACTGTTCCATGTCCTACTTAATTGCTTTTAGTTATCAATGTTAAAATTCAGTATCATCGTCATTCATTTTGTCTGGACAACAAAAGAGGGCAATGCCATGTATAAACTGTAAGTAAACGTTATTTCAAGAGTACATACAATGTACCAGCTTGCAACAACATTTGATTTTAGCACATTTCAATAACTTCCTGAAAATTTCCATCGTGGTCAGGTACCGCTACATTGTTGATATTTTGTACATAGGCAGGCCTTATTGTATACCTAAGTATGATTGTTGTGGCATGCCACTGATTAAGTTGTGTATATAGCTTATACTTTTATCAAAATTCATGAAAGTCAGCAAAAGAGACAATTTGTGTTCCTGAATTATTGGAGCCTTCTTTCAAGTTGGATTCAATTGAATGAACGAGATATATACTTGATTCGGATCCACTTTTGAGTATGCAACGGATTATTTCTTCTACCACAAACGAGATCCATGGAAAATCGATTGCTTCTGGCATTCCTCACACAGAACAGAATTGATACATATACCATATGCATGACAAATACTCGCAAAAATCGAATACCTGCCTACGTATTCCTCCTTTACGACCGTATTAGGTTTTTACGATATCCGGGACAGCAGGGATGCGATTCCAATAGAATCAAACTAGGTGATAAAGACGGAGATACAGTCAGTGTGTGACCAGGTTCTGAAGAGCTGTACAAACATTTGGTATGACATTCCAAGCAAAATGAGGAAATATTCATCCATTTTGCTTTTCCTTTCTACATTATGGAGCGCAGGTAAATTGTTTTGTTTATATTTTATTATACAGAGAGATAATTGATGTTATCGAAACCACACTTTACTAACAAATTTGTTTGTGATTTATTACCTTAGTGCTCTCTTCACCTATGTGCTAGTTCAACAGCTTTTGACATTGAGTTCCATTGTAAACTTCAGGTGCTGCGGTCAGTGAAGTGACCGTTACTGGCCGTTTAACAATATTAGGAGACACTAACAGTTCGGGTCTGAACTCTCTCAAGCCAGCCAAACTGGACGTAGGTGATGAGGTGACGTGTGACTTCCAACTTGTTATAAATGGTGGCGATAAATTGAGGTCTGTGGTACTGGTTATAAACGCTACTGGACTAGAGGTAAGCCATGATCCATTTATAAGATTGCTAGTTTCTGTTTGGAAGTTTGATGTCATTCAAATACAATGAAACCTCTTTTGTCTTGAGCAAAGTACAACCTTACTTTCTTTTATTATGATTTCATTTCAACAAATTTTATTGACAAAGTTGTACCGTCAATTGAATGGAATAACAGGCAAAGCCTATATACATTCTCTCCAACAGAGGCTAACGTAATGGAAAATACAAATATATTCACACTTCTCACACTTTTACACCTTTTATTTAATTTTGTATAACATTTTATACAAACTACCAAGTCACAGAGTTATTGGCATACATTGACCAAAAGTACAATGAAACCTCTTTTGTTTTGAGTAAAGTACAACTTTGCTTTCTTTTATCATTGTTAACTTCAAAACATCGAGATGTTCTGTTGATAACATCCAATAAGAGAGCGGGCCCCTATGTATACACGTCCAGATAACGAGAGTTTGATATTACTGGAATTCGTAATAACGAGGTTCTGTTTTATTGTACTTTTATTTCGTGTGTATTATCTTAAATATAAAGTCGGATATTCCAAAATAGTTATTAATTTCTTTTACGAATCAAATTTAAACAAATGAATATTATATTGTAAATCAGATATGTCCTATCAATATCTGTATTCAAAATACGTTGTGAATTCTTCAGTTTTTTACTTGACCAACAAAATATGTCCAGTTATACGATATCACAGTTAAACAAGAACCTTTCAAAGAATGGAAGATTTTGTGTCAGCAAGGACCTGTTTTAAATTTATGGCATGAAAGTCTGTTTTACCGTGAAATTTTAACAGGTTTGAAAATTTCTGATGCTACACACAAATAATAAAATAACAATCGGAGGGACTATTTCCAAAAGATTCAGATACCTTCAGTTTCAGCCATAAATCGATTAACAGGAAGAGCATAAAAGAATTGTTTTTTTCCTGTAGTAAAGCATTAACTAAATTTGTTTGTTCGGAAATGCGGTAAATTTGTAAATTTTGTGCAAATACGATATTTTGTAATCATTATCGTAATGCTAAAGGTGTCATATTTTCCGAAATATTGATAATTGACATTTACTGAATCTGCAAAGCTGACTGTCCTGAACCTAGTAGATTAACAACTATATAAGATTGTCCTGAACCTAGTAGATTAACAACTACATAAGACTGTCATGAACCTAGTAGATTAACAACTATATAAGACTGTAATGAACCTAGTAGATTAACAACTATATCAGACTGTCCTGAACCTAGTAGATTAATTACTATATAAGACTGTCCTGAACCTAGAAGATTAACAACTATATAAGACTGTCCTCAACCTAGTAGATTAACAACTATATAAGATAAACAAAACATACTTTTGTTGGTAACAGTTTCCAGCCGAATCACCAGAACGATTTGTGGAAATAAAGTGGACCACTACTACTGTTACAGATCCGCTGTTACTTGGAAAACAATTGGTTAGTATGAAGTATTGGAGCGGGATTGAGTGGATCAGCGTGCGAACTGTTATTTATATAACTGTTAAATAATATCTCTCCAAATGAGCAACTCTAACACTTTTAACTGAATAAATGTTATCACCAAATGACCAAACATTACATAATTTCTAATAACATTTACCTCAGATATAACGTTTTTATAAATATTATATTTGAGACATGAAATATACAACAACACTTACCATATGCTGTCCTAAGATAAGTTTATTCCAAGGAATTGTAGCTGCAAGAGCAGGATATCTGGAATTTCCACGTTCTTGCTTCTATACTTTCTGTATTGTGTTTACCTATTGTCTCATTTAGACCACCTCTATAGATTTTGAGGCTGCTATAAGACTGTCCTGAACCTAGTAAATTAACAACTATATCAGAATGTCCTGAACCTAGTAGATTATTAACTATATAAGACTGTCCTGAACCTAGAAGATTAACAACTATATAAGACTGTCCTGAGCCTAGTAGATTAACAACTC